TGCACTAATGCTCGCTGGTCTAAAGTTTCTCTCAAGGTAGGTTTGTGCCATTTTCTCATCAGTCTACCTGTTATGTGAATGCCTAAAGAGTATATCCTCTGGAATTCCTCGGAGCTTGTGAAACTATTCAGCAATAAACTCTTCTGCTTTGAGGATAAGCATAGGTTTCAGGCTAGTGCCATCAGTACAAATCCTTTTGATTACAGTAACAAATTCGCGTGTTCCATCTTTTTGTTATCAGTAACTATTATAAGACAAAATTATTCCTATATAATAATATTAAACAAGATCCAATATATATCAAAAAAAAAAAAAAAAAAAAAAAACTTAATATATAAGCCAATACCTCATTATCGAACTTAGTAATAAGTTGTATATCATTTTCCCGAATATTTCTAATAAAGTTTAATTGCTTACTAAATCGAGATTTTACTTCTGGATGTCGCTTCTTAAAAGCTTTCTCCCAGCGTTGTCCTAAAATCTTGTTTAAGTTTCTTTTCCATACTATTGTGGTGGCAATTTCTCAAAATTGCCAAATCATTGGTGGAAATCCAAGGCGACAGCACAAGTAACAGTGCTCAACAACCTCTTGCTCCTCCTCTGGAGTCATCTTCTGCCTTCGGGATGCCTCCTCCTCCTTACTCCTCCCACCTTGTCGTCAATGCATCAGTGTTGATGGTGCTGCCCCTACCATTTCTGTTGCTTCCAAAAGGCTTGGGGCAATACCTGTGGAGGCCATTTCAATGGCCATTTGCTCTTGAAGCCGGGTTGAGATTTCCATATCTTGCGAAGGCATCTTTGGAGTTGATCAATACTGTGACTGAGGTACTTTTACTACAAGTATGATAATGCCGTTCAATTTTTTACTCCCCGCCCAGCTTAGCCAAGCTTAGCCAAGCCTCGTTGAGGGTACCGCCTCGCTGAGGGTCCGGGTGGTCTACTAGTACTCGCTGGTTCAGTTGCTATGCGGACACCTTGGCGCCAAGATGTCCGCATTGCAACTGAACCAGCGATGACTGGGCGCTGCTTACGGGGGACGGACCGGGCAGCGGTCAAAACACCCTTAATACTCGGTCAATTCCGCTGGTCTATAGATATCGGGCTTGATACCTGAAGACGAAATCGACGAATGAACGCAGCTCTTTTCCTTTGTTTCATTATGTTTACTGCTTTCAGTTTCCCGCTTTGCATTAATCCACTTTCCTCTCCTTCTATCATTTTTTTCTTTTCCTTGAGCAACCGACCGATAGATACGAGTAAGTGACAGAATGGCCCATGTTTCACACCTGACACTATCGGGCGCTTCACGTTCATACGTGATTCAGATGACGAAAGCGTTTATGGGCAGTCGACATACCGATAATCTGCTCGTACCGTGTGTTGCCTATCCTTTACGGACTTTAGTACTCAGTACCGAGAAGTACCCTACCTGTACTGCACTGTACTTGTAGTGTCAAAAGGGTTTTAAAAAGAAATGCTATTGCATACCACCCAGATCTGAGCAAAAGGGCCTTAGAAAACGCTTTGATATTACGAGTATAGTACTCGTACAGTGCCGGTGCAGTGCAGCACGTCCCAACATCCATGTTGTGCTTCCCTGGATGGACGTTTCGTCACCGACGATCACCCAGCTCCGCATCTCAACTGGTATGAGAAGGTCCCAGTCTATTCCTTGGCAACCCCCCTGTCTGCTCGTAGCCTTGGCCAACTTTTGTCTCAACCCAACACCCACTCAGTGTCAGATGCTTTGGTGAGACTTTGGCATGCCTAGTCTACGCATGAATCCACAGGAGCAAATGAATAAAATGGGATTCCTTCCACGGTACCGTATCCGCAAAATGGCGTTGGATCGGTCAAGTTATAAATCTAACAATAGAAGAGTGTGTAGTTGATACCCAGTAACTGACGTGTAATCGCACTTTCGTCCATCCCTATCGGTACAGTACAACTGAAGGAGGATCGCCGGACGGTATCCATGGCTCTCTGGGCGCTAGTTGCACAATCAACTCAAGCCCAAGCCAAAAACGCCTTTTCAACTGCTGCGCCTCGAAACCCTAATCTACGGAAGTCTCCAATCAGCCTTTATCTCAATCACGCTACTCGAGCACTGTAACGTGATCATGATTGCCCCCCCCGCACTCAATTGAAATTATTGAATTACCAACACTGCCTCCCCAACCCCCCACACTGCACTGGTTATCCTCCCTCAACTCTATTCTAACTCCTCCCTCCCTCGCCAACCTCTCGCCCCGAACGACCGACTGACCGAAAGGAACCGGGATCAAGATGTCACTTCTGGACCTCCCAAACGAACTCCTCCTCCAGATAGCTAACGGCTTCACACACGTAGACCTAGTACACCTCCTCCTGGTCAACCGCCGAACGGCATACCTCTTCCAGCACTTGCTCGACCGCCTAGCCCTCGATCCAAAAGACAACCTAACCGCCCTAAACTGGGCCTGCTCCCGCGGACACCTCCCCCTCGCGAGACTCCTGATAAATTACGGCTTTGACGTCAACGAGCGATGTCAAACCCTAGGGCGCACACCATTGCACTTCGCCGTCGCAGCAAACAGTGAGGAGATCGTTGAAATATTGCTAGCCGCAGGAGCGGACCCCAACATCAAGAACAACGCCGGTAGCACGCCACTACATTGGTCCGCACTCTGCGGATCGTACGAGATGAGCGCTCTCTTACTAGCGAAAGGTGCAGGCGCGGGGACCAAGAACTCGGCATGGATGACGCCGCTGCACTGTGCTTTGGAAAATGCGGTTGAAGCGCTGGCTCAACTGGTCGCGGAGCAAGGCATCGAACCCCCCCTCGATGTGGATACCACGACAGTCCCGTTTCCAAATGAGGAGTACCTGCGCCGGAGAAAAGTTGTCAAGCTTGTTCTTGAGAACAAGCCCTGGCTGGACGCGCAGGACAAGGCTGGATTGACGGCGCTGCATTACGCAGCGAAGGGCGGGAGGACGAGGGTTGTTAAGTGGTTGCTGGAGAGGGGCGCAGATGCGTATGTCCGTGATGGGAATAGGTGTACTGCACTTGATGTTGCCAAGTTTATCGGGCACACGAAGGTGGCGGGGATTTTGAGAGATCATTATGAGAAAGAGAGGGAGCCATTGTGGAGTGTGTTTGTTGGGAACGTGTTGGGGGTTATCGGGATTGGAGGTAGTGGCTGGTAGGGTCTGGAGCGGGTTTCTCTTTTGCTTTCCTACTACTTTACGGGTGCGGGGATTGTGAATTACTGCTTATAGGAGTTCTGTAGTTGTTCTTGTGGGAGTGGTACGCTGTTACGATTCCAAAAATTTCTTGCTCTTCTTGGCGTACGGTTCCCGCCTCTTTTTCTTGATATTTGATCGGCCCTTGTCAGGGAGGGGGGGATGATAGAACTAGCGCATCACATATATAGCATTGGGGGAGTTTCGCTCAGCCTCCCCGGCCGATGACACATGGTAGCTCGTTGTACTGTCTCTGCATTTATCTTATTGGGGGGTTCGGAATTTATTCATTCGGTCGATCTCCTGGTGGTACTTTCAGGGTTTTGATGATACAGGAATGTATTCGCGAACCCATCCTGAAGGGGTTGGCTCTTGGGGATACGTCGCGTAGAGCAGGTAAGTATGAGAAAGAAAGTCCAAATGACCCACTCTACAGCACCAACACCGCTGTTCAAGCTCTATGTCGAGTGCTATCCTACCACAACCCCCCCCCCAAAAAAAAAAAAACAACAACCAATATCCTTATTCCACTGTTGGGCACGTGGAGTGTCATGCGCTAGAGTATACTACCGTTGAAGGTGTTTCATTATATCCGTCCCCTGCTTTCCTTTCATTCCCCACTTGCTCTTTACCTTAAATACACCTCACCACGTTCGGCTCTACACAGTGTGTATGGTACAGTACTCGCTGTACCCGGCTCCCCTCCACCCTTCAATCCACCTCACTCCACGAAACCCCCATTCCAATCATTGCCTTTCCTCCCACACGTTCTAGACATCCACATGGAAGAACATCTCACGAGTGACCATACATGACCACCGCTTTTACGGTTCATCTATCCCGGAGCTGGGATCGCCTTTCCGCAACTGGCCGTACGGCAACTGCCGGCAGATACTTACCTGACTGAACTATCGTATGAAAATATGGCCTGGATTGATCTGGAGATGTATTCCTCAGCGGAGCGTTCCTGTCGGTCATTCCTGTTTTTTCGTGGAGGGAAATAAGTGTGCTATATAGGATTCAGAGTTAGCATAATGCAATCCGTACTTCACCGCCAACGGTGCACGTTTTCTAAACGGGTTGGCTGCCATTTGCTCGGTGGGGAAGAAGCAAACAATGAGAAGTACTTTGCCGTTGTCTCGCCGAGGCTGCTGGGGGCCCTTGAAGTTCAATTCCCTGATGGCGTTTTCATCTTTTTCATACCTTATATTTTTACAAAAAAATCAAATAAAAAAACATATTGGTCCCTCCTATGTTGGGTTACCCTCCTCGATGCTTTCGGCCGAGGCAGAGTGGCTGTGTGCGAGAGTTATTTATTAGGTGGGGGCTCAGATAGCTATCGCGGAAATCTCGAGTTGGCAGTGGAATCTCGGAAGTGTGCTCGCGGAGGTGTTTGGCGGGTTTAGGTGGGGATATCTAGCGGATAGGGGCGTATAATTTATCTTCTACGGGTGGTGGAGGCAATGGATTGAGTGTGGTATGATACTATGGGTGACATTCTGGTTGGGTAGATCCCTGGTAGGCCTGGGGTCGCTACAGGTGGGTGAGTGATATTTCATGACATTTTTGATAACCGGGTATAGTTTTTCTTGTGAAATAGTTCCGTGGCTCGGTTTCCAAACCATGGCATATACTAAGTTCGTGTCGTTTGTCAAGAAAAAATATAATAGACGGTCCTTCCCATGCATCAAATTTCTTAAGCTAGGTATATGTGATTTCAACCTTTCGGGACCCCATGATTAAGTGGAACTTTCTCCCAAAAACACAGATATAGGCAATCATTCCCTGTCTTGCCCCGTCCCGGCGTAGATCCCTCCGAACACCGGCTTCCCGACCCCCCCCTCGCTCGAAAATGTCAAGTGCCTCACAACCAGGTTTGGCACAATCCCCACATCCCCCCAGCGCACCTTCTTCCCTACAATCACCTCCGGGTCCTCCCAAGTATGACACGCGGCCGAAATGGCCGCGGAGCAACTCCCAGCAGCGGTAATCTCCGAAGCCAACGGCCTATACCCCATCCCGATGGCGGCCAGCAGGGCAAGAATCCCCAGCGTGAGGGCGAAAATGATGGCAATGCAGGAGTACCCGATGGTACTTATCGTTGCCGGAGTCGGCCTCTCGAGCGGGTCCCTTATCTCGACTCTCGCGAGGAATATCGATTGCGATGCCAGCCAGTGAAGGAGGCCGCTCAGGACCATTAGAGGAATGGCGTAGTTGTAGGGCATTTGAAGCCAGTAGGTGGAGCACTGGCCTGGCCGAGGGGATGTGACGCGGAGGGTGCGGTGGTGGTGGCCGAAGAGGGACCATTCGTGGCCTAAGAGCATGCAGGTGAAGAGGGAGTGGTATGTTAGGTAGAGGAATGAGAGTATCGTTTGTGGAACGTTGGCTAGGAGGATTGCCATGGTTATGTTTTTGAAGCTTATGCCGACTAGGGAGACACTGTTTACTTTTCCAAAGCCTCTGGTCCACCTTTTTTTGTCTTTTCCTTAATACCTTTCTCGAGGAGAGTGATAGAAGAGGGGGCGGGAAATTGCATACATTGATTTAATGTCGTTGCTCCAATATCTCCCATCCTTGCCCATCCCAGATGCGAGCGAAACCCCTGCTGCCATAATTGCTACCGAGCATAAAGCATTACAGGTTATCCACCTCGTCTTACTAACGCTAGTCCACCACTTCTGTACCCCCATTTTCCTCCACTGTCTTGGCCTAGTCCTCCATCCACACCCCCACTCCCTCTTGACGAACTGTCGATCGGCAAAGCATATCGCCGCTGTTGTTGGATCCGGGATTCTCAAGAAGGAGTCCACAGCATCACCCAATGTGACCAGAGTGGGCTCTCGAGATCTGACAACAGTTATGATCATGCAGCAAGCCTTAGCAATATTGCAACAGATTACGACTATCATGATCCTTAGTGAGAACTGCACCTTGCACTTCTCCTCTGTCTTCTCGCTCTTGCATCCACTTATTTCTACCTCGCCCCCTCTTCGGAGTTGCAACAACCATGGAAGACCGTTCGTCACATTGGAGACTAGGTCACTGGGGTTGCACGTGGGACCATCCTGATAGTAAGTTTCGCCAGAAGCCACCCCATGGTAATCGCACATCCACCTTCCTGGTGAGATCCCATTGACACCGACCTGGAAAGTATCCAGGAGGGTCGTATTGTGCATGGCATTGTCACTTTGTTTCGTTATCAGGAATAGATTTCTGTGGCTAGAGATAAACTCGGTGTTGTAGAGTTTTGTACAACGACGAGGTGTCAAATCGTCGTAGTTCTGGGCGCTGGTATTGTATTCCTCGAGCACAATCCTGAGCTGGTGGAATTTTTGACTCATGTCTCCCGTCCAATTTGTGATGTTGTAATTCTCCCGGTACATGCTGAATAAATCCTCGGTCATGTTAGAGGAGGCTCCCGATTCAAAGTGATTGTTGGTCACGATGGTTACGAAAAACTCATTTGCCGCTAGCGAAGTATATATCGCAGAATTATACCTGTAATCTTCCAATCAGTCTTCCACTCAGGATTCGGGGGGGCATGGTAATATAAACAAACAGCAAATGCAGTGGAATGCTTGTAATACCAATGGCAATCCATAGAAACACCCTCTCCAGCTTAATCCCGAACAAATTCCTCACGCTCGGAACTCCAATATCCATCCATCGCTTTTTCGCATGCGCGGCGTCAACCTCGCTGCGCGTGGGTGCTGCGAGGCACTGCTGGGTATAATTACTCCCGGACAACAGTAGCGTGGAAAGGACATTTATCCCCAGATGCAGCCACATCCCGATCGTCTTGCTCTTGCCGCAACTCCCCGAATACAGTGTCCCAACGCCTCCTTCCACCTCGTACTCCGGATTCGTTGCGGCGTAGATGGTTAAACAGATGTTTATGAACAGAACAGCCACGACGGAAGTGGCGCAGGCTAGGACGCCCGTGTGCCAACCGGTATACCAGACCGGTTTCCACACGGATGAGGTGAAGTTCCACCGTTCTTGATCGGTTTCGGATCTTGGAGTTAGTAATTCCGCCCAAGAGGATTTGTTTCCTCCTCCTCTGTTGTAGTTATTGCCACCAGGTGGGAACGCCCTCCAACTCGCTAACTTCTTTCTGAAATTTGAGATCCTCTCCATAAGCAAGTAGCCACCCGTATATCGTCCTGCAAAAAGAGAAAAAAAGCCGTTCTGAGGCCCAAGAGAGGTTGCGGGGTGGGTGCAGTAGTTAAAGTTATTTGAAACCCCATTTTGGAATATGATGAGAACTTTCGGCAGCGTCAACACTGAAACACAATAGACTGGTCCAGAATCCCAAGTGGGTGTATCGCATGAGCTTATCCAGCTCAATTAGAGTCCGGTAGCAGTTTTTTTTTTCACCCACTATCCTATCAAACCATTGCAGTTAAAAGCACCCAAGCGTGGTGGTACTGTACTGTACAAAACTGCAGTGCCTTGTGCCGGGCAACACTCGTCTTTCTCTACGGAACCTCTGACCTAGGGGTTTGGTTGTGATACGAATATTCTGTGCTGCCGACCTCCCCTTGACACAAGTATCAGACTTTCGGAGTACGGTGCTGTAGTACAATGGGCCCGCCATTGAGTGAATTCTATATCCTCCGTAATGCATTTTGGAATTTCTTCTGGGATTTTTAGGGAGGGCGTGGGTGTTCACTACTTGTTGACGGGTAAACGATTGATTAGCATAATACGATACCGATAGGTAACTAGTGTGGTTTGGGGCCGCAAAGGGAGGAGGAAGCTTCACGATAGTTTGCCGTATCTGTGCTGAGCCTTTTCCAAACGAATTGAGTTGAACGGGAGTATGGCATGCTGATGGGTTGTTCATCAGCGCTTGAGGTCTTGATATCAAGCAGAGAGCTATTGTGTACTGTACAGTACACGTAATAATACCAGGCATAATGAACATGGAAACAAAGGGCAAAAATTTGTACGGCAAATCATCCGTACGCACAGGCATCCAAGCGCCCCGACTAAATTCCGGCCCAAACATTCAGATCCATTATGCCGGTAACTCTACTAGTACAAGTACAGTACCGGTACTTGTTGAGTGCTTGTGCAAGAGGAGTCTAGATTTCTTGGCGATCGCTGCCTATTGAGCCTAAGAAACGGTCACTGAAATAGTAGCACGGGGCTGTGACACTCTGATCGGGGTATAGTACGAATATCATACAGCTACTGTATTAAGTTACAGTAAGATCTGGAATAGCCGAACTTCGCATTACGAGGTTGGAGTTGCTGGTTTCATGATACAGTCGCACCCCGCTGTCCCGGATGAGCAAAATCTGAAGATTTCATCCGGGACAGCGAAAATCCGGGACAGCGAAGAATGATATATTTCAATGATATTTACAGAAACAACTTATTATAGGCATCATCAAAACCCAAAACTCTTTGATTCCACTTTGTTGGCACACATGTCAAGTGGCCAGCATCATCAAAGTCCTCAGTTCCACTACTCTCCACATAGAATGGTTCAACCTCAGCACCTAATAGGGGCCTGGTGGACGCACTAGATGTTTCCTTGCTCTTTCCAATATTGCCAGTGCCCGAGGTAGAGTTTGAGTTGCTAATAAGTAGTTTAAAGTATTGGGTGATGGTAGTTTGGTGAGTGCAATGAGAATCACAAAAACTAACTAGATGTTAACAACTATACTTATATGATAGTGCTACTATAGTAAGGAGAAGTAGGAAGAGATTACTGGACAAGAGAATCTTGAAGTGGGTAGGTTGAATGAATGATCTTTCTAACAGAAAGAGTTTTTCCACTGGAAAGTTGCAAGCAAGTAGTGTCCAATGCTTGCAGGTAACACATGAGTTCAGTAGCATAGTGAATGGCCATCTCAGTTCTTATTGGAGGATGCTCCATAAAGTCCTCTCCATCAGCATCCTCCTTGTCTAACTCAAACACTTCCAGTCCAAGAGTATCCTTTGAGCAGGATAGGATTTTAGCCTCAATCCTACTCTGTACAGGGTCTTCTGCCCTTGGAGGTTGGTCAAGTCCCTGTAGGTTGTCATCTGGTGACAAGAAGGAGTCAAAGAACTCTTCAAATACTTCAAATCTACTTTTTCCCCTATCCTGTAATTCTTGGAGTATGGAATAACAATCCTGTCACTGAAACTCAATAAACTCATCAATAGGATCCTTCAATTTGGTGTTGAGTTTTTGTCCACAGGAAATAGGAGCTAAAATTTGGGAGGATCTACAATGCAATTTAGAAGAAAGTTCTATAGGGACTACAAATTGTTGTATAGTAATGTTCAATGCCGCTTCAGTGATATTGGCCTTATGCTAACAGTGCTGTATCGTCTCAGCTGTCACTTGTAACCTGTCTTGATACTCTGTTAAGGGTTACATTTTATGTTTTGTTTTAAGTATTGTTTTGCTACTTGATTTTGTTGTATGTTTTATATTTTATTTTAAGTATCATTTTAATACTTAAGTGGTTTTACCAACACGTATTACTTGATACCTTTGAGTAGTTTTGTTCATACTAGACATGAACAGATTTGTGTATTTAAAAACCACTTGATTCTAAGATGGAAAAGGCAGACTTCAAAAGACAGTATTTCAATATACTTGGTTGAATAGTTACTCTTTAGTTTTCCCAGTACAGCTTCAAAGCCTCCTTTAGTTCTCAGCTCTCGTCTCCCCTCAGGTAAAACAGGCCACCTGTCAATTATCGTATTTTACCCCAAAATGTGATTAGTAACTTACCAATACATTACATCACTGAATCCCAACAGTCCACTTTGACGTAAATGCCCTTCAGTATGTTCAGTTTGGGTGGAGCCTCTTTATATAAATTAAAGTGCTGAACCATGTACTCAGTATAATGGTCGCGGTATGCTGATTTAAAAGAGTTGATAATTCTGATATCGGGAGGCTGTAGAAATAAGGTTGTTTCAGCAGGTAGATAGAGGAATGTTATATTTTCCAATACTAGTAGTGTTGGTCCAGCATATTCTAATAGAGGTGAGTTGGTGTAAGGATGTGTATGACAGTTGTCTGTAACAAAAGTGATATGGCATTGAGATATTCGTATCTCATCATCAAGACCACTTAGGAACTCATACCAAAGTCCTGTCAACATTCATGCCTTATTGTAATCTCTGTATATAACAGGAAGAATGGCTGGATTTACTCAATTTTGACGAAAGGCAACTAGAAATTTTTTTAGTGGTTAATTACTTAGAGTTTACGCTTATTGGAGCCATCTTCATTGACAAGTTAAAATGTTGTAATCCATGTATTATCATCTTTTCCTCCATGAAGCTTGTTTCCCTTCTTTAGCTGAAAGTTTGATAATGGTGGCTGTTTATTGGAGGCAAGTCCACTTTTATCACTGTTATAATAGTTTTGTGGTGAAAAGAGTTCCAGAAGTTCTGCCAAATGTACTTGTTAAGTAGACTAGGCAGATTTATCCATATCACTAGACTGTTGATGCTTCCACAGTTTACTAATAATATAATGAGCCTTAAATCGAGCCAACCACCCACTAGATATTTCAAATCCATCATACTGCTCGTTAACTCCTACATCTCTAAGCTTTCTCTGAATAATTCCACTATGGGTACTGTATATCAGAGACAACCTGTATAGACTCAGAATTGTCTAGGCTAATCAAGATACATTTTTGTAGACAGAGATTGTCTAGGAAGGCTTGAACTATACTTGTTTCGTTTATGACTACTAAGAGTAAGGTAATGTAGGTAAAGTAGAATATAATCGTAAGAACAAGATTATATTGTTAAGTGGACTTCTCCATTGCTTAATGATATCTAAAAGCTTTACGAGGTACTTCAATATTTATATACTACGTCGGAGTGTTCGTAGACTACATCTATCAATTATACACACTATATATCTCTCTGGTTACAACTTGCAATATCAGGTATTCTTTAATGGTGCTAATACCTGGAGATCCTAAAAACCTCTGTACTTTCTTCACTAATTACTATTTTGCTATTTAGGCAGTATGCTGTTCCCAACAGTAATTATCTGATTTTTAAACTCTTTAGACTTATAGTGTAGTTCTCAAGTCAAATTGAGTTGGTCCCAATTGTCTTCCATATTAATAAAAGAATTAGTTGTATCTGCGGGTTGTATTTGTAGAGGTATTCATAAATTAAATTTTCCTAGGTAGCTGACTTTAAACCTCTGTAACTCCAAGTCCAACTGACAGATATCTTCTGGATGATTTCCTATCAATTAGTAAGTAACCATTCGACTGGATTGACAGATAATCTCTCAGTCAGAAATTATGCTGTAATGTATTAGTACAGTACTAATTACGTTTCAGGATAAGGTACAATGTAATATGTTCGTAAGATGCTAATCATGATTCAGGATAAGGTATAATAGCTGACAGGTAACCTGCTATACCAGAGAGGAGGTAAGAGCTGCAAACTGAAGAAGTCTTTGAAGGTGTACTGGGAAATCAAAGGAGTAACTGTTTAACCAAGTATATTGAATACGGTCTGTCAAAGTCTACCTCCTCTATTGTGCAACCAGGGGGTCTTTAAATACACAAATCTTGTTCATATCTAGCATGAATGAAACTAATCAAAGGTATCAAGCAATACACTTTAGTAAAACTACTTAAGTATCAAAACAATACTTAAAAAATAACATAAAACAAACC